GCATCTCCGGCTCCAAAGGCCAAGATCCATCCGACGGCAGCGGGACTCCCAATTCCCCAGACGGAGCTCCTGAAGATGGCAGCAGCCAAGTTTCTGGAATCCCTGGACCCGGAGGAGATCAGCGAGTTCGTGACGGGCCAGAAAACCAAGGAGGAGATCTTGGCATCCCGAAGGACAATCAAGAAATTTCAGAAAGAGCCCAAGGAGGAGGTGATGGGAGCCATCTCGATCGCATCATCGGAGGAGGAGCCGGATCCGAGGAGGTCAAGAATGCACCCGGAGTCGCATCGGGCAACTCTGGTGCTCACTGAGGAGCTTGCGAGAAAGGGCAGCCAGTGTGATGAAGACTGGCCACGACACCACGTGCACTACGCGCACTACGAGCACTACGAACACATCGGCACCTTTTGGTACCACACGACATGGCTCTCCAAAAGAGCACATAGACTGTGCCATCCAGTTTGAATCGGTGGAGCAGATGAGAATGAGGCCGCAAAGGATCTTCCTTTGCCTGGCCTGGAGGTGGAAAGCGAGCTGGTGTGGCTCCATCAACGGCAAGAAAACTGGCCACCAACATGGCAGTCATTGGTGCTCTCATCACCGCACCCATGCATGGCCTGTTTGGCATGATGTCTGACCAGGCCGACTTCTGTGAGGTGGCATGTGCTCCGACTTCATCTCTGTCGGAATGTATGGCTTCGATGGGCCACAACATCCAGCGCATCAACTACAAGGAAGGCTTTGATTTGGAGAAGAAAGAAGGCACTATGAAGTTTGGTGAGCTGATGTCTTCGAAGCCTCCAAGACAGACATGGGTGAGCCTTCCATGCACAAGATTGACAGGTTTGACCAATCTGACCCAACGTGATGAGTATGAGTGGGCAGCATTTGAAAAAAGGGTGAACCGTGATTTGAAAAGAGCTGATGAGGTGGTGCAAAGCCTGGAACCTGTTCTGGCAAGTGATGGTCATGTGAGCTGGGAGTGGCCCACTGGTGCATCCAAAGGCTGGAGATCATCCGCAATCAAGCGTCTTCAGCGACTTTGCCAGAAACATCGTCGACCATTGTTTTGGTGCAAGTTCCACGGATGCGCTTATGGTTTGACCTACAGGGGCTACCCTGTTCAGAAGAGTTGGACTGTCTGCACCACGGACAGGAATATTTGGTTGGCACTTCAGAAGCGATGTCCAGGTCATGAAGAACATGTTCACGTGGCACCGTGGCTCAGGCATCGGCCTATTACCCGGAGAAGATGGTTCA